GGGGGGGGGGGGGGGGGGGGGGCGGAGTGAGCTGGCGCTGCCCATTTCAGTCACGCGGAGGGCGGCAGTGTAAACACCAGGTGACTCACACAGGCTCCGCCACCGGGGATGAGCGGGCTGCTGCGCCGTTATGGAAGATAGTCTGGCCCGCGCCTTCGGGGGCCTGAGCCTCCAGCAGCCCCGCCGTGCCCAAGGCAGGCGCCCCGCTCGCCGCTTCAGCAAAAGCCTCTTCTTGCTCCGCGGCCTGCCCGGGTCCGGGAAAAGTACTCTAGCCAGGTAAACAACCCCCAGCTGCAGCCATTCCCGCATCCTCTGATAGGTCGTGCCGGTTCAGGTCCGCGGGGTAACCCCGCGCGGGTCAGCGAAGGGACGCCGGGCACGGAGGGCACTTTGGAGGTCTCCCGGAGCCGTCTGGCGTTCAAGACTTTGCAGGAAGTACCGTCTCAGCAGAAGCCTTCCTGGCCTGTGTTGACAACGGGGCGGGCGGTTGGTGAGTTGGGGGGTTGCGACAAGGAAGGAGCTGTTGCTACGGTTTCGTTTTCGTTTTGTTTTTTTCCCCAGCTTAATCTGGTGGAGTTTATTGTCTTAAAGGAACAGGAATGCTCCGGGTGGGGAGTGGCATCGCTGCTGGTCAAGAGAGAACTCCGAAGCCAATCAGGGAAACCAGAGAATAATTGGGAGAGTATACTACAAGGGTACTTTGCGCTCGGAGATCCTTCCCTTGTACAAACACACAAGAGTGTCCTTGTCCCTTTTATTCTCAGTCCTTCTTAAGTCCACGCTGATAAACCCATCAGAAAGCCTAAACCTGATGGGATCAGAAGCCAGTACATGTATAGAAGCAGCCGTAGCTCAGCTGGTCAATGGGAACACCATCTTTCTAGCCATAATTTGTATGCCACCCGCTCTTCAAATTCTGGTGCTTATTTGGCAGACTTCCGCTGCTGTGTATTGGCTGCCCCAGTGTGTGTAACTTTTACCCAGACTTCTGCCTTATCAGCAGTATTGGAAGGAACACTTCCCAGCTGTCTGTCTCTGTTAGAAATTATGCCTGTTTTTGCCTGCTGTGGTTTGGAGAAGAAGTAATTGGATTGTACAAGTACATAGTGAAAATGGAATATTTATTTCTTCCATTATATACAGGTAGTCCCCAGTTTAAGGAAGAATTCTGTTCCCAAGGTCTGTCCTTAAGTCGAATTTGTATGTAAGCCGGAACAGTATTATTGTGTACTACTGTATAAGTAGTATTGTGTATTTAATTCGAACCATTGTGTATTTAACTTGAAATTTGCTACAGTAGGCTCTGTTCTTAACTATGGATTGTCCTTAAACCAGGCATTCTTAACCCAGGGACTACCTCTACTGCTGCTTAACTAAGAAAGGAAATAAATAATACCCTGATGTGTTCTTGTCTTGTTGACCAAGACATGGTGGAGTTTTATCTAAAGTTAGCTGAATTTAGTGGGACAAATCAAGATTAAGCCTGGACTTTGTGAGAAGGCAGGGAGAAGTGAGGGCCTCAAACGAACCATGTTTGCTAGGGGAGAGCGCTGTGCACCATGGGGCAGCCTTGGGGGGGCGG